TCAAATCACTAAAACAAAATTATTCGCTAATAAATCTAATTCGTTAGTATTAGCCTATTCATTCTGATCCACATAAACTATTAAAAATTTGTTATCATCAATTAAAATACGCTCTCCCAAAATTAATTGGTGACAGTATCTTTAAATTATGGAAATAATAATATTTCAAAATTCCTCTTTCCTAGATTATTTAATTATGTTTATAATTATTCATTTTGGAAAGGAATTGTATAAACTAACAAATAACATATTTATTGAGTTAGACAATACTGGTAGTGACATTTTCATTTGTAGTTGTGGTGTACCTAATGAATTTATTCATTGGTTTACATAGTGATAAATTGAACACTATAACATACAAGAAGCCATTCTTGGCTCAAAAGCAAAGATCATAATTGAGATTGAATTATTTTTTTATTGTCCAATCAAAGACGTCGGAGAAGTTAGTTCCCCGAAATATTGTAATATATATATATAATCAATTAGTTTATTGATAATTTTCATCATGATGGATTTTTTAATTAATTAATTATCAGATCTTATTATGTGCGGTTGATGATATCAGAAGAAAATGAAGATCCCGAACATTTACCGTATGTTTCTGAGTGAACTAAGAAAACTTGTCTATGCCCAAAAAAACAAGATATTGATTCAATCGATTTCAGTTCAAAGTTTGAACACATTGTAAATAAATTAAAACAAAATGGGAAAATCCAAGAGGAATTGAAAAGAACCTCTAATGAACTGTGGAAAAATAAACAAAATAATTTTCCGCTCAGATTTTGCCAATAAGAATTGTTAAAACAACTGTAAATTCTAATGAATGGAATTAAAGATTTAAATAGTAATAATAATGATAGCAAGTAATAATAATTAATTAGGTAGTATATTTCCTATTTATTGATATCATTTTATTGATTCCTTAAAAATATCACCAAAATGATATATTTAAAAAATCCATTTATTATATTTATATATATATTACATTAGTAACTCCATTCACTTGATTATGTTTTTTGCTAAAAATAAAAAAATAATGAACAAACAAAATACTTTTTTAATAATAATTTCAATAATTTCAATAATTTCATCAGATTTCTTCTTTCAATTAACAGATTCAACACCGGTTTTAACATCCAACGATAATGATAACAACAATCATTTAATCCCTGCTCCATCTCTATTAAACAGTATTATTATTGACCCAGTAAGCTCCAATTTAGACACATCAACAACATCATCAACACTATTGTCATCATTATTATGCAACAGCAATGAGAACGATTTGTCATCTTCTCTTTTTAAAAATATTTTTGAGAATATCAATAATTTTGAAAATGAGTTTTTTGAAAATTTAGGTAATAATCTTGCTGATGGTGACGGCGACGGTAATGGATTTACTACTATTGAGATTACTGTTGTTGGATTAGATAATGACGATAATTCTGGCGAGGGAATAATCAACTTGGAAAGTAATATTTTAAGCGATGGCACAGAAGAAATCATCGTTTCTTTCGATTTTACAAACTCTGATAATAATAATATTATTATCATTAATGAAGAAGATTATGATGAGGATATTATGATGCTCGATAAAGAGTTTTTCAAAATTGATTCATCTAAAGTTGATAATAAACCACAAAAACATGATTCGTTATCATTACTACCATTATTAAAGCCGTTAGCCTTGACAATAATGTTAGCAGTCTTGTTAGTAAGTAGTATATCATTATTAATGTTTTTCATCAAGAAATATTTTAATACTACTGAAAATAAATGTAAATATAGTAAATGTAGTAAATATATGAAAATTAGTATTAATGATAAAGAAATAGATGATTTAGAAAAATGTGATTTATTATAGATTAATAATAGATTAAAATAAATAAATGTATATTTGAATAAAGACTTACTTTTAAATTGTTACAATTATTAATAGAATATTTTTTAACATCATTCATTCATAAATGCTTTTATAATCTTATTAACAGCCAATTGTTCAGATGAAAGCAAAATCATTTTTAAATCGTTAAGAAAATTGTCACATATTATTGCTCAAAATTTTAAACGTGTCATTGACTTTGAGCAATTTCCTCCACTAGTCCAGAAACTATATTACCACTTAATATCATATAATCAGGCCTGAAAGTCACATATTACCGGGAAGAGGTGTCACGTTATTGAAGTGGTAGATTTGAATATCGAATATATTTATCGCATCCAAAACTTTTGTATTCTTGCAGAAATGATTTGATTTAGGTAATTTTCCGCAATTCCGCGAGTTGAACCTTTAACAATGACACAGTTTTATTGGGCTCGTATTAATAATATCACTATTTTGATGCAAAAAAAGTCGTAACGATTTTTATTATAATTTGTGAATTTTTAATTTTCAAGTTAGTTAAATTTAATTTAACTTCAAAGACACGAATGATTAATTCTAATAAATAGTTTAATCAATTATTATCTTTATTATTTATTATTAATCAATCAATCAATTATTATCATTATTATCGTTAATCGATTATTATTAGTATTAGTTTTAAGATGTGCATAATTTGTTGTAAAGTTAATCATATTGGTGATAATGGCAAGTAAAGATTTATCGTGTATTTTATTTAACTATTGCCACCATTATTAGTAGCAGATTACCATACAATTATAATAATAAATCATAATATAATAAGATTATGATGATAAAACTTTATTTTATTATTGATAAATACAAACTTTTTTCATTTTTCGGTAATTCAACAAAAGTATTTAAGAAATGGATTTTGGACATGAAACAAATCTTTCTCTCATTAATATTAATTAATAACAAATCAATAAATCAATTTATCTCGCTCAAAAGAAAAAAATAATAAAAATAATAATGGAATACAAAAATCGTCAAATTATCATTCTCTTGATCTCGCTTATTTTCATTATAAAATTGACAATTGGTGACCTATTAACAACTGAAAACAATGATGCAAAGGTTACCGAGATTTCTCTTGATGATTTGCCAGAATCTGGCGATATTTGGGAAATGTCTCAAGATCCTGAATCGGCAAAATCAGATACACTCAAAGAACTTGGCGCTGATAGTGCTTCTACCGTTACACCAGAAAAATTAGTTGAAGATTTCCAAAGCGAAAATATTGATAAAGACAGCGGTCATCAAACCAGTGCCGTAGTTGAAGAAAGTGATGATACTTCTGATGTTGACATTTCACAAATCTTTCAACCCATTTATATCAATAAAAAATTATTCTATTTCGGACCTCGTGTATTTTATCCTCATAGATATTTCATTCCTAAATACTATTACAGACATCGTTTCTACAAAATTTGTACTATTCAATGCAAATATGCTGTAATTCCTTATTTCATGTAATTAATGATATGTTATTTTTTATTCTTTTAATAATAATAATTAAATTTGAAATAAATAAATAAAATTTTTAGTAATAATAACAACAAGAATCTGATGATAACTACATTACAAACAAGTAATTTTATTATTACCTAGCAATAAATAACAAAAATAAAAATACAATGAGAATACAATGATGAAATGATAAAATATAAACATCAATAATATAAATATAATAAACTTCCATATCATTTAAACGGGTAGAATTAATTACGATACATCAATAACCTGACTAGCATGCTAAATGTTTATTCATAATCATTTTTCTGCCGATGACCGTAATAAGTGCCAGTTCGAGTACAATATTCACCATCCTGACACTTTGCACATAAATCCCTCTTATGAGGTTTACCAGTCTCTGATAATATCAGAGGTTCGTATTTCCAGATCATGACATTTTTATTCTCGTTTCCCTTGCATTTCTTGCACTCTTGCACGCAAAAATCTCCCTCCAACAATTTATTTCCTGGTGTTTTGTCTATAAACTTTTGTAGTGATAACCAAGTATAAGCGCTTACCCATTTCTTACGACAATTCAAGCATTTCCAATAGCCAAACACCCTATGCTTCTCTTTCCATACTAGGTGACAGATAACCTCAACGATGGGCGTTTCCTATTAGGATAAATTTTAGTAGAATACAAGAAATTTTGTTGCGTTTCGAAAAATGAGATATTTTATGATTATGATTAATTTGTGACCTACATCTAAATTTTTTTGTAGTTGCGATGTGTACATGCGGAAGCTCGTGATATCACACACTACATTGCATTCGTTGCACTTTTTCTTGAAAAAATTGTACTGCGCTCCTGCTGACGTCATCTTTAAAAACTGCTTGAGTGATTCTTGAGTATATTTTTCTTGCCAAATATTTTCACAAGACTGTTGATATATTTCATCGTCTGATATTACTTCTTGACATAACCAATTACCATATACTATGTATTTATCGTTCTTAACCAAGCACTTGACGATATCGACAATCTATGTGAACAAATGTTAATGAAAACATAGAAAAAGAAATATTTATAGCTGATTTTACATACTCGTTGGTTTTTCTTGTTAAAAGCTGCTGGATTTGCTTTCCATGAGGTATTCTATTTATTAAACGATCAAATATATTAATTAAACATAACTTACAACCAGGAAAGGTAATTCATCTCAGAATATAATAACAAATTAAAAATACCCTTGCTCCAGCGTTTACTGAAGATGTTGTTTGTCCTGTTTTATACTGGCGATAGGAAGAGAAGTGGATTGTAAAGTTTATTAAATGATTGAAAGATGTAATTCATTGGTTAATAATATTACAACAGAAAAAAGCGGTTTAATTATATACATTTGCTCCAGTGTTTGAAGATATTATTTGTACCGTGTTGTGCTGGTGATGGGAAGAGAAAGTGATTTGTAAGTTTATTAAATAATCGAAAGATGCTATCGTTATTGGGCCTACAACCAGGAAAAAACGATTTAGTAATAAATTGAATATACCTTTACTCCAGTGTTTGTTGAAGATGTTGTTTGTCCCGTGTTGTACTGGTAGTAGGAAGATAAAGTGATTTCTCTAGCCTTATAAATACATTAAATAATCAGAGATGTGGTTACCATGACTTATTATAACCAGATAAAAGTGATTTTAATAGTAAATTGGATGTACCTTTACTCCAGTGCTTACTGAAGATGTTGTTCGTCCGGAGTTGTATTGGCGAGGGGAAGAGACAGAAGAAACAATAGTTTTCTTAGTACTAGTCACGTAAGTCTATTAAATAATCAAAAATGCTATTAGTTACCATCAAACAAAAGCGATTATTTTAAATATAATAGTAATAGCAAATTGAATATACCGGATTCTGTTCTGTTGATAATACTGATCCCATATTGACTAACGGATGCTTTGATCCTTAAAAAATTACACAATAACAAATTATATATGGTATGTTCAAATTGAGATTAGACTATAGACAAATAAGGAGTATGTTTTTCAACTTAAAAACAGATTAAGAAAGAGATTGTGGTACAGTCCATATTGCTTTAATTTAATCTTTTATATTTGTTTAACTTGAGAATAATCAAAATTTAAAATATGAAGTTTATTAAAGAGTTTACTCTGCTTGGAGTGACATATTACTTGACATCATTTTGAAAATATATTTTCATCTGTAGATATGGTCACATGAGGTGAATTCTTCGTTTTGTGGATGATGAGCGTGAATGTATTTTGAAACTCTCTTCCCACTTGAGCATATTCTTTCTCAACGGCTGATTATTCTAATAAAATTTCAACATCTTGACGGGCTAAACTTATGTGTTCATTTGCTCCCCTTGTTTCTCTGCTATTTTTCTTTGAAATAATCTTGCTCTTTCTGCTTGACCTTCTTTGAACCTCCACTTTTCTCTCTTCATCAGGAAAATAAATCTTACGTAAACCTACATAGGGTTCAGAATTGGCCAGCATTATGTCGATATTTTGGTAATTCTGTTAACATTTCCGCATAATGCTGGTCAGTTTTAAACCCTGCGTAGGTTTACGTGAGATTTATTTTCATGATGTTTTTTATAAAGTTCAATATTAATTTTATGGATTTGTATTTCTTTTAAGGTATGGATGGCTTTGATCAGAACAGATTGTAAATAATACACTGTCATTTTAATTTGATTTTGATAAATGCCTTCTGGCTCTATTTCCACTGGTTTAATGCTTTAGGTGTAACAGAAAACTTTCTTTTCAAACGTTTTCAATTTGTTAGCATAATTATATAAATCAATTTCATCAGTTAATAATTACCTAGTTCACAACTTCAAATTTCTAAAGTATTATCTACTGAATAACCAATATTATCAAAAATGGTGTATTTGTATTGGCAACTTGGACTATTTGTTTTTAATCTTCAGTTAATTCAATATTCATAATACCAATCTTCTTATATTTGATTTTCTTGTTTTTAAATAGTATATAGGATTATCCCTTTATAAAAAATATAAATATGAAATTAATCCACCATGGAACCAAAGAATTACAGCACTATTAGAAATATTTTGGAAAAGAAACAAGACGAGAAAATTGTTCCTTATGGTTCAAAATAAATGATACTCTGACATTTGAGGGAAAGGAAGGATTACCTATGAAATTTACCAAGAAGAAAGAAAACATCCTCTTCTCCTCCATTGACACTTGGATCATTTTTATCATTTTACCAATGGAAATAATAATGAGGCAATTTAAAGTAAAATTATTTATAAATGCTAGTTATTTATTTATTTATCTAATAGAAAATCTCTGATGAAATAACAATAACAATAGTAGTTGATATAAATAACATGAGATGCAAATTAATGATGGTTAAAATATTAATATTTACACATTTTTTTATATTTTTATTGTATTTTTTTTTTTTGGTGTATTTTTTGTAACAATAAAACGCTAATGCCTACTGTATCAATTATTTTATTTTTTGTTTCAAGTACAATTCCAATTGCAGAACTGAACGTGATAATCATAAGAAAAAATAAATCATATGCTGAAAGTTTTAACGCTTCTGGATAACTTGTGATACCAGGTAGTTCTGGTGTACTAGTTATATGAGTTATATCAATATCATTAACATAGCATAGTATTGCAGCGTCAGACAGAACTTTAATATCAAGACCAATCGACCATCCAAGTTGAGATGCCAAATTCAATAAAACTAGAACAACAACTATAAAAAACCGGAGCGTACGAAAGACACCATATATTGATGGTGATTGACAAATAGCTGTTTTTTCAGGAGAGTATTGGGAAATGTCAGGATTTTGGATATGCTTTTTGTGTAGATTAGGTATAATAGAACATCATAACATTGGTTAGATAATGTGCAATATGGTGCAAAAAAATTGACATTGTAACTCTAAATATACATACTATAATATGATGTCCTGCATCTGCATCTACAGTAGTATTTACTTCATTTTTTGTTAGACCAGTGTTGCTGTTAGATGTTTGCATGATATCGATTTTGGCCATCACAAAGCTGGCCATCACAAAAGCTGCTCCAAGAGCTGATATAACCTTAATCCACATTGATGATGATGGTAACGTTAGCTCAGGATACTTCGTTACAAGACGATCTTGGGAATTATATGGTGCCATTGCGCTGTTATCCCTATTTGCTAGAAATAGATTATTGTTTTTGATATAGCAATCGGTTCAAAAAAAAAAAAAAACAATTAATTAAAGAAATTAAAATTAATAAATCTGTTTGATTACAGTAATAGCTCCTCATAGGTTGAGCAACATAAAATTCGGTTATAGTTCTTTCAGCAAAAGTTTTATCCAAAACCTTCACTTCTGAAGGAGCTTTACCTAATTTATTCAAGTTATATAAATATTCTACTTGACATTTATTATCAGTCGGTGGTCCGTTGCTTTTACCCAAGATACCGAGTGGGTTGTTTTGGCAGCGAAATATCGAGGATTCGTCAGGTGCTTTTTGAAGATATACAGATTTGATTAATGTATTTAAGAATACGAAAAAGATAATAATAATAATTGATTTGATCATTGTAATGAGAATTTTTGTAAGAAAATTTTTGGCGAATGAAATTTTTAAAATTTTTGTAATAATTTTAGTTGTTTGTTTGCATGTATCGATCATTAAATATTATTTGTTTTTTAAAAAATAATGAAATTTCTATAAAAAAAGAATCCAAGGAAAAAATTCTAAAACGTAAGGAAAATAGTATCGGAAAATTGCAATGTTCTATATTAATATTAGTGTTGATGTTAATATTAAGGGAAAATTGCATTTTTCCGAACTATTATATATTATATTAATTTTTTATAATAATGATAAAGTATATTACATTTTTTACATATAATATTCTTTAATTTTAATATATTGTATTAATTATATGTATTCAAATCGTATAATGAACATCGGATTCAGTGTGGTATAACTTTTGTCAATTGAACATATTTATTTT